ATATACACATATATATATGTACATATACATATATATATACATATATATATAATTTAAAACTATACTATCAGCATAAAATGTATGTATTATATAGTGAGTGAAAATGTGAGTTACCAAACCTATACATAGTATGATACCATTTTGGCATTTTACATTTTTATACACAAATTTACATATTTTATATATAAAATTGCAAATACAAAAACATGTAAATTATAAATGTTAGGTATAACACTTACATATATGTATTCATAAAATTAGTTTAAAATTTTATCTTTTTTGAATATATTTTTTATTGATTTCATAAAGGAAGGAAAAGGGAGAGATAGAAACATCAATGATGAGAGAGAATCATCGATCGATTGGCTGCCTCCTTCACACTCAGGCATGTGCCCTTGACCAGAATCGAACCCAGGACCCTTCAGTCCACAGGCCAGTGCTCTATCCACTGAGCCAAACCAGCTAGGGCCTGTATTTTTATTTTAAATAATGATTCTGTGTTATATTTTAAATAATGACACTTCTATTGTGGGGGAGAAACGCCATGTCTGTGGCTGAGTCTTAGAGGAGTACGGACTGGCCCGGACTGGACCGTCCAGTCCGGGCTGAGGGAACAGCACATACCAAAGGCACAAAGTGACAACAAAGCGTGGGACGGTCAGCCGCATCGCCCCTGGCATCTGACACCACAGCCCGCTCCCCCTTCTGCAACTTTCCTCTTACCCTCCTGGGTCACGTTCTTTCTGGGCTGCTCAGCCGCACCAGTCAGCCAAGCAGGCGCTGGGCGGCCCCGAGGAAACAGACAGGGTGAACGACCTTGGTGTTGTTGGGGCGGGGACTCCGTAGAGATCACGAGGATTAAATCTACCTTGTTCACAGAGGCTCAGGCTTGGGCCCCACAGGAGAGAGAGCAGAATCCATGGTCAACGGACCCAGGTTCAAGTCGAGGCACTACCAACACCCCGCACCCAGCACCCAGCACCCAGCACCCACCCCCAGCCAGTCTCAGACACCACTTTCTTTTTTAATCTTCACCTGAGGACACTCTTCCATTGCTTTTTCCTTTTCAGAGAGAGTGGAAGGGAGGGAGGGCGGGAGGGGGAAGGAGAGGGGAAAGGAGAGGGAGAGAGAGGGAGGGTCAGAGGGAGGGAGTGAGAAACATCATGTGAGAGAGACACATTGACTGGCTGCCTCCAGCCCCATGCGCTCTGACTGGGGGCGGAGAGCAAACCGCAACCCAGGAAGTGCCCCTGACCAGGAATCAAACCTGGGACCTTTCAGTGCGTGGGCCCAACGCTCTAACCACAGGGCCACACGGGTCAGGGCACCTCCCACCTCCCTGAACCTGAGTCTCTCTCCACAAAATGGGACAATAAGAACCTGGTGGGGTTGTTGAGAGGGTTAAGTAAGACTGGGGAAAAGCCCCTTCCAACTAACCATTTACATCAGAAAGAACCTGACCGCAGTCACGGCAGCATGGCAAAAGCCCACAGGCAAACACAGCGCCCTGACATTTACCGGGTCCATTTTGGCTAAGGAACAGCGCTCACGGCAAGCACTTGTGATATGTCCTCGTGGTTGGACATGTCAGTCACAAGTTCTAATTATGGGAATGAATGTTCTCTGACAAAAAGGCCTGTTGAGGTGAGTCACTGCGGTGGTTTAGCTCTCTGGGCCGGGAACTCTCCCTGGAACGAATGGTTTGGAGAGAGGCACATCCTCCTGCAAAGGAAGCCGAGATGGACCCTGGAGACTGATCATCGCGTTCACCAGGAGGGTTGCAGTCCTGACAGTCCCCGGCTTCTGAAACAGCAGGTGACAAATACAGCCTGCTAGGTAATCCTCTTACTCCCGTGCAGCCCCTTCTCTCCAATTTTCTCCTAAAGTCTTTCCTTTTATACACACACACCTCTGTTGACTCAGGATCACCTGGGTAAAATGTTCTAAATGGAAACTCAAATAACTTCCGTCTGCTCGTAAAACACAAATCCAAGAGGTTCTACCTGATGTGGGTGGCTATAAAGTGGTTTCCAAACGGATTCGGCTTTTATTGCCACCCCGGAGAGCAAGCGGTGTGATGACGTTACTTCCCTTCAAGGGCGAATATTTCTTCCTCCTTGATATTTGGATTTCTTATCTGGAATCTTCTTGAGCTTGTTTTCTGACTTGTCAAGGTATTTGTTAACGTGTAAATCTCCCGTAGGCATGGTTTCATACATGGCAGCCAGGGGCACATACATGGAAGGATGTCCCCAAGATCTTGAACTTTTTAAAAAAACGTTTCAAAACAGTATAGTATATCACTTGAGCCAATTTACATAAAAACATGGGCGTATTTGTGTGTAAAGAAGATGTTTGCCAAAATATTAATAATGGTCAGTAATCGTGGCCCTGGCCTGTGTTGATCAGTGGTTAGTGTCGACCAGCACACCCAAGGGTCTTGGGTTCGATTTTCAGTCAAGGGCACGTACCTGGGTTGCAGGTTCGATCCCCAGCCCAAGTCGGGGCCCCTGCGGGAGGCAACCAATCGATGTGACTCTCTCAGATCGATGTCTCTCTCTCTCTACCTCCCTTCCTCCAGTCCACTCTCTCTAAAAATCAATGGGAAAAATATCCTCGGGTGAGAATTAACAAGGACACACACACATCATCGTAATCGTGGGAAGAAGCCACTGGTTGGAGTCCCAGCTGTGCCACTTCCCGGGGTGTGTGGCCTGGGACAGGGCGCTGTGTAAACCTCTCTGAGTGCATTGCTTTATCTCTGAAACCGGATAGAGCGCTGTTATGAGGATTACATAAGATGCAGCACGCACACCAAGAAAGGATACTGGTTATGATTCCACACTCAGACCCTGAAGGAATGGATTCTGCCCTTTGCTGTAGTAGCAACGCAGAAAAACAGAGAGCAGTCGTTGAAGTAAAACACAGCTCACTGACATCGGGTGTCCCTGGGGGTGATCCAGCACAGTGAGGGTGGATCAGGCTCCCCCTCACCCATGTCCACAGAGAGAAGGGGGTAGAAAAGGTGCCAATGCTATTTGATCGTGGCCCTCAGAGGGTTGAACGTGTCTGTATGTTCCTAAATTAGCCCATCCACTCCCAGGAGGCACGGGAAGCCAAGTTCTCACACATCTTCCTGGTAAACATGGGGAATTCGTGAGGTGACCCCAATGGCCCCTGTCACTCCAAGGCCTGGTAAGTATCTCCATGGTGACATCAGAGCTGCCCAGATTTGAAAGTGTAGCCAACATGAACTTCACCTCCTGTGCCCCACAGATGGAGGGGGTGGGACTAGGTGGGGGGGCGGGGGCGCCAGTGCTTCCAATTTCTCTGGCTGGTGCTCACCCCCTGCAGGACTACGTCTCTGTATAATACACACACACACACACACACACACACACACACACTGAGTGGCCAGATTATTATGACCACCCCATCAGTACTTTGTTGGGCCACCTTTTGCCTTCAATACTGCGGCGATTCTTCTTGGCATTGACTCCACGAGATGTTGAAAGGTGATG